TCAAACAAAGGGGCAACAACTTTGGATGTATTCAGGGTGGAATAGAACTATAGTATCAATTGTTTATCTCTGGGGAGTGAAAGGATTCCTGACTTCTGATTTGAATTAAAACAAACTGATAAAGACTGTGGTTTGTAAGGACATTTAGGTTGAGGTCTACAGATGCCCAGGTGGTGCTATAATTTGTTAATCTGTTTTGGAAGAGGGCACTTCATCCTTTCTCCCTAAGGCTCTAGAGTGTCCGGTGTAACCTCACTCTTGTGGGTTGTCTGGCTGGAGTGTCCTATGTCTTTAGGAAGGCATTTGCTTGTGTCCACAGTTCCCAAGCTCTGCATTCAGCAGGGCACCCCCTTTAATTGAGTCAAGTGCAGGACATGAGGTCAGTAAATATTGATTACAAAAATCTAATTTACCAATAATATAATCCTGTTGCTTTTTGGGTACCATGAAATGCTTGCCCGTGGATTTTTTTTCAGAATAATATATGATAGACAAAGTGTTAGAGTAATGCTAACAAAATATACATGTGTATGTACATGTGTACTAGGTCATCATGGTTGAGTGTCTCAGTAACACAGCTTAGCTTAGAACTTATTCAGGTTGAAATGGTTGGCTAACTGGCCAATAATGGAAACAGTGCTTTTAATTCCTGTCCTGAGCCACATGGTTTTGAAAATCACAGTCAGGTGGAAAGCTGAAAAATCATACTGAAGAAATAATGCTTCTTAGCTACACACTGGAGCTATCTTTTGTTTGAGCAATTCCTTATACATTTTGAGAGTCACAGGCTGATCTACTAAGCTGTGCTATCAGACTTAAGAGCCATGGAGTGCAGCTAGGTAACTGAAGATGTTGTCTTCATCCAGTATACTCGATCATTTTCAGTCAATTTCTTTCATTTAATTTGAACCATTGCACAAACTGAATCTTAGGTATCTACATTTCTCCAAATTTCGCAATTCTTGCAGTGCATACTGAAAGACAAATACTGTACTAGGATAAGTGCACACAAAAGTACATTCATCCATGACACTACATTTACAATTGCATTATATTATGAAACTTGCTTCCCAAAATATATGTATTAGATGAAATTACACATAAAGATGTATAGGGTGTTGTTGGACTGGGGACCTGGGAGATCCAGGTTCTAGCCCTGCATGACTGTGGAGCTCACTGAGTGAATTTGAGACCTTGGATATGGCCATCTGTAATGCACTGCCATCACTTGCTTCATCACCTTACTTAAAAGAGGGAGACTGGAGTTTAAACACTAATTATACAGTTGTTTACTATATTTAATGTGTGTTTCTACAGTAAACAAAAGATGTAGGCCAAATGCCAGCAAGAAATCAAGAAAACATAATTTATAAATATTTGCTGTTATATTTTTTTAGTGTGTTATAGAGTGGTTGGGTTATTTCAGAAGAACTGACTCAATGTTTTATGTAGAATTTGCTCTCAATTCTAGTAATTGATCCCAATATGTGCGAGACTTTATATTCAGAATTCCTAAAATGGATTTCTTTGCATGTTGAGAGACCATTACATTGCTTGGAGAGCTGGGTTTTCAAGTTTGGCCTTTTTGAGACAAAGTAGCACCTAAGGCTTATCAAAAGACATGTTTTCAAAAGGTAAAACTAGTATTATATGTTTTGATGCTTAGTGGGACCAGAACAGCCAAATTTCATGTCTGTTTCAATTAAGTTCTGATTTGGATATAAACAAAAGGGTTACATACAAAAAGTATAAAGAAAAACCTCTCCTTTTTAAACTATCATCTGGCTCTGGTAAAGGCCATGGATATCCCACATTCAGTAAGCAGCTTTCCCGCACATGCTTTCTTGTTGAAAATCAAAGTATCTAAAGATGATAGCAAGAAGTGGCAAGTTCCTGAATCTCCTCATGCTTTGATTTTCTGTAAAACGAATGTAACTGATACTTGACAGAATTTCAGAGTTGCAAGGGTTTATAAGTGTTTAGAGAGCCTCATGTGATTAAGGGTTCATAAGTATTCATAGCATTTTGTGTAGTGGTACAGGACAACAGGGAACACCAGCCATAATGTTTTCAGTGTTCCTTTGAACCATTAAATTTTTTATTTATTGCCATTACATTTTTTAAAGCCCAGTGAAGCCGTCAGACACACAAGTGTAGTTATAGAAATGTATCACCTTGATATTTTTGTCAAACTCATGCAAACAGTTGGGGTATGTATTTGCGCCCAGCAATGCAGATGACTAACCAAATTTCTAATTGTCTAGTTAGAAATCTGGTTGATTCCTGATTAGGCATCAGAAATACAAACACTGCAGATTCCTAGCATTTGTAAAGATTTCTTGGCTTGGTGATCAAGGGTTGAGCTGCATTCCCAAGACCTAGTTAGCTCTTTGCACAGTGATGCTGGACTGTAATGTTAGTCCTATATTTCTTGGTAATGATTCTAGGAAAGGAAGTTGTTATTAGGAGCACAGACTATGTAGCCAGAGCTGAACATATGGATGGGTGCAGAGAGAAAAGAGCAGTCCAGTGTTTCGTTGTACCCTCTGGCCTAGAGGCGACCCTAGAAGTGACAAAGCAAGTGTGCTGTAACACAAGTATGAACTACAAATGTACCCCATTCCTTCTGTTTACCATTCCTTTGGCTAACAGTATGTTTTCACGCCACTATGTATAGCTGTGTGGTGTATTTGTCCTTTGGGCATAAGCTGTATAGGCCTGAGCCATAGGCTGCCTTTCTTATAGAAATGAAGACTGTAAAGAAGTTTGTGTGGTACCTGCATTGTGACTTTCTTGACACTACAGGCAAAACCCTTTCTTCTCTCCCAGGTATTTTAGAAAGCTAGTTCTAGATTTTTATGACTCTTAAAAATTAATTCTTGTGTGTGTTGTTGTTTTGTTTGGATTGTGTTTTTGTTGTTTTTTAAATTTGTAATGTGTTTTATATTTTTAACTATCTGCAGGACATTTTAGTCTTTTACCTGCTTGCATTCTACCCAAAGAACATTGGTTACTGGGCAGATTAAAATGACAATGAAGATGATGCCAGGATATGATCCTGCCCAGATAATGTCTTGTGTACCTTGGTCCCTCTGTACTACAGTTTAAGTGACCACCTGCAACTCAGAGCAGTGACTGGCAGCGCTGCAGGTGGTGCCTGTAACAAAAAGAGGCCTCTGAATGGTTTGACAGAATGACTGGCCTGGGAGATGGAAAAACCCTAATAAGTCACCTAGTTCTTCTCCCCACTAATGTGGAATTGTTCCCTGTTGTATAGTTTCTAGTCTTGCTGCACTGCTTTGCCTGTGCATAATATTCTTCACTTGATGATGAGATGTATATTGTGGGTCTTGACTGTGCTCTGGAGACTTGCTGTGATTGCTTAATGGCGGAGAATTGGCCTAATCTCATTCATAGTAATTTTCTCTCCTCAACAAGACAGTGGTTTGGGGAGATGTCATGTGCAGCCTTTTGTTCCACATGGAATACGCAGAGCGGCCCATGCGGGTGAGCCCCTCCCACAGCCGACACTGTGCACTGCCTCCTACTCCCAGGTGAACAGCTGTCCGATATCTGTGGTGAAAAGGAATTCCTTTAAAGAGCACCTACGCTTGTGAGGCAGCTCTGAGAAGACAGGGTCTTTCAGGGTGGCAAATTATTTCTCACAAGGGTCTGGCGAGTGCTTGTCAGGGGATGAGGGAGGCAGTATGAGGTGGGCTGGACCAGCCCTTTTGACCCTCCACCCAGAGGGGTTTATTGGAACCCACTCAGCAGTTGAGCAGGTAGAATTGGACCGAGCTGTTTAATTTTAGTGTGTGTGTGGAGAGCCCTTTTGGCAAGAGTGACAAAAGGAAAGGAGGAGGAAAAGAACAGTGCATATGTGTGTGGACTGCCTCCTCTTCCTCCTTGTGCAATTTCCATAGGCAGTGACTGCTCAGCCGCTGAGTTTCCTGGGTGATCTTCCTGGGTGTTTTATGATAAAGCAGGAAAGCCCTGTGTGTGCTGCGGTGACATGCATGGGATAAATAAGGGCAAGTCAAGTCCAGTTGTTGGACAGTGCTTTTGCCTAATGGTGGTTCAGTTTCTCGCTGCTGGCTGCTATTTCACTATGTGCTCCTGCTCCCCACTTCGCTATAATGGATGATTGTTTTGAAAGCTGTTATTTATAATTTCACTTTGTGTTCTCTCTGCTTTGCTGTTTTTATCTGCTGTGTATTTGTACCGTGGCTTTATTGTTGCACTCATTTTGGTGCCCCTTCCCTTAGGTGCTTCCTAATGGTAAGATAGGAATAAAAAGTGGGCGCATGTGTATAGGATTCACATTCAGATAGTTGTGTGACTAGAATTAGCCTTGTCATAAAAGTGAAACGACTTAATATGGCATGCTTTTTAAACTGTACCAACTGATTTTTTTAAAATAGATGCGTTACCTTGGTGTGTATTGTATTTATGTCAGCTATTGGAGTTTACCTGCCAGTCTGGTAAGAAAATGTTCCATTTTATTGGGAATGTGAATTCAAATATATAGTTAAAAAAGAGAAAAAGCCAACAGCACGAGAACTTCGGTTATGCAACACAAAGTACAAAGCTGCTATCTGCATGCTTTCTGGATTATATGATACCACTTGCTTTGAAGTGAATGTTTGGAGTGTGTTATGGTGGAAATGTTTTACTTACTGATTTGCTGGCTATTGTAAAGTGATCTCCTTTTTTACACAGTTACATTAAAAATGAGCTCTGTTGGTTAAAATGGCACTTTCAAGTAAATGTTCCTAGGACTGGGCTGTTCATGTAAAAAGGTCTTGCCCATTAGTCCATTTTGGATGTCAGATCTCTTTTTAATCAACTGATTTGATCATATTGACTCATGACTTGGAATGGATGGTAGTAGCCAGATAACATCTACTTTTCAGAGGAAGTAAATAGCAAACTCTTTTGCTGAGGAAAATGGACCTGATATTTTAAAAAAACGTATTTCATTTTTCCCCCTATGCTTATAGGAAGGATCAGCACCTTCTTTCTCCTGTGAATTGTTGGTATCTTGTATTGACTCAGACGCGGAGAGAGAGCAGAGATCATGCTACCCTGAATGACATCTTCATGAACAATGTCATTGTCAGACTTTCCCAGATCAGTGAGGATGTCATCCGGCTATTTAAAAAGGTAAATAAACTATGGAGTGTCACGGAATGGTTGCTCTCTGAGAAACTAAGGGCCAGACCCCAGAGCAGCTGGACCCAGTTTGGACTCTCTCCCCAGCTAGAATCTTTAGGGGAAACGTGTTTGTGAGCATTCCAGTCATGCTGCCGCGACTGTCAGTTCCAACTGCACAGGGGAGGGAAGAGAGATACTCCCTGTCGAGAGATTCTTTTCTCACTTTGATCACATCTTGGAGAATGGACTTGTGTCATGACATCAGAACACTGCATTTTCTTGGGCAAATTATATATATTTGCCCAAGTATACAGGCAGCACATACATATGTATATGTACATATACAACTCTGTGTTTGTATGTGCCTGTTACTGAAAAGCTACTGAGGTTGGTGCTAGCTGTTCTTCTTGGGAAATGTAATTTCCTATGAGATGCCATCACCATGGTAGCGTCCTCTGATCATCAGCCTCTTCATCTGAGATGTTTCTACCTCTTAACAAGCCAAATGGCATTTGTTGTATTGAAACATCAAATTCCTCTGGAACAAAAAGTATAGTAGTGTAGTATAACCAAATAATTGGATTTTAGTACAGAAGATACAGACAATAGGCTCCGTGTTACTGAACAGTAAGAACCTTACCTGTTGCCCTTCTTTGTTTATAAGTGCATTATAGGTAAAGCTTTCTCTGAAAATGATCTGAAAAAAACAAGGCAAACTGATTGCTAATCAGACTGATCAATTATGCAAGTGTTTTGTCATCTTTACTAGCTTTCAGTCTATTTCTGGACTCACCTGTAAGTGTAGGTTTTAACCTTTAAAGCACTAAATGTCTTGGCACCAGCTTACTTGAATGCATCTCTCCTCTTATATTTTATCTACCTGCACTCTAACGGCCCTTTTGCAAGTGTCCCCAACAAAGGAAGTAAGGAGAGTGACTGCAGCAGAAAGGGCCTTTTCAGAGGTGGGGCATTATTTGTGGAATGTCCTCACCAGAGACTGGAGTCACTGGGAATTAAACTGGGATCTTTGGGCACCATTTGAAGACCTTTCTAATTTTCTTGACATTTTAGGAACTGTTTTTAGTGGTTCTTAGTGCTTTTAGATCTTCACACTGTTTTACACCTGCTGCTGCTTTCCTTCTGGTTTTATTATGATCTGCTATTGTTTTAACTTTTTGTCTGACTGCTGTTACTGTTTTTAATGCCACTTTATATTTTTAATTTGTACACCTCTCTTGGGCATTTTAACTGTGATGAAGGAATACTTTTAATAAATATGGGTATGACAATTCTTAGGTTTTGGTTTAAATAAGGATATAGGTTTCAGAATAGTGCTAGCCTACAGAGTAAATAAAGATTATGAGTAGAATGGCTGTGGATAAAGGAAAATTCCATACTATCAAAAAATGATTTGAGCTTCAGATGCCCCAAGTCAGAAACGTCTCTTGTGAGAAACTGCTCTCTTTCTTGTTTGTGCTCTCACAGTTTCCTTTGTTTTATTTTAAAATCCCTATTCTCAATCCCATGGAGGTCTTGAACTGCTGATTATTACTTCACTTTCTATACCTTCTCCTCTCTAATCTGTGAAGGTACATCTTTTTGACCTAGATTTAAAATGATATTTTACAGTATTTTACTTGATGTTTAGAATGACATTTTTTCCTGTTTGCTAAGCCAATGTTTTTCTCTTTATGTACCCTTTTCCTCTCCTTTTCTTTATCTTTGGGCTGGTTTTCCAAAATATAAATCTGAATTGTTGAACTCTATTTTACCATGTAAATACAAAACACTGTACAGAATACAGCATTATTACCTTGTTTAATTACCTTGTTGTAGGTCAAGCAAAGGCCAGATTTAGTCATGGTTTTAGTAGTTTTCTGTTTTATAAAAAATAACATCTTTTAAAATAACTATTTTAAAACATAGTTTGGTCATGATTGCTCCATGTTTATTTCTTGGATGTTGGCTCTTAGGGAGTTTCTTTGGAACCATAGTCTTCGCTGACATGAGCAAAGGACCCGTGTTTACATTATTCCCTCTGCTAACTGTTCCTCTGCTGTGCCCTGAGCTGATGTGATCTTGGCATGTACAAAAATGAAATTAGCTGTGGCTCCATCTGCAGCTTGCCATGCACAACACCTGCTTTTAATCAGGGTAGAGCAGTATTATTGAGCTGTGTATGTGCATCTGAGATTGTATTCAGAATATGTCCCATGAGGTTGAAGTCTCAGTGCAGCTTACATGTCTTTGAAAACGTTGATGAGCTAAATCCATTTAAAATAGGCTTATTCAGAGCTGTAATTTGCTGTTATTGTGTGTGTGTAAGCACATGTCTTACACTTCAGAAGCTCATCTTGCTAGGATTTAAACCTTTGTGTAAGAACAAAGTACTCCTTACCATCCCAGTGATCAACCCATAACTTCCATAACATCTGTGACAAAGTGATCTTGTGACTTTATAATGAGAGCCCTTTTCATAAATTAATGTATCCTAGAATGGCTAGTATTGTAAACTTTTTCAAAATTCTGCCTTGGTAATTTACCACATGGGTATGTTTTCATGAAGTTTATTTCATTAATAAAATGCATCCACTGCCTTTCCAGCAGCCATTGTTGATGTGAGCCATCTTACGAAGCAGAGCAGAGTGGATCCAACTATCATGCAGGAGGACTTCTGTTCATGCAGTGGGACTTCAGTCCTTGCACTGGTTCTCCCCTATTCACTCCTCCCTCTCTGCAGCCCACCTGGGCACCCCAACTCCCTCTGGAGAGGCCCCTAACCCACCAGAACAGATTTATGAGAAGGACAAATCCATTCTACTTATGATGTATGTTCCCCAAACAAATGGTGGACATTAAAACAAACCCAAATGGAAGATCATGTTATTATGTGACCGATGAACAAAGAGGCAACCTGGCTCTTTTTCCTTCAAATGGTTGCATGACTTGTCTGTTGCTTAAGTTAATTCAAGGTTGTTTCCTACAGCAGATTTTTCAGCATTTTATGCAATTCTACCCAGCTCTTACTCTGCAAAGACTGTGCTCAAACCCATTTTAATCATGGTTATGAGAGCTGGCTGGCATTAGAAGGGTTAATGGCATCCCTAATTGATCCACAGCTGTTGAAGATTGCTCTGATGGTAAATTGGAGGAACATTTTGCTTCAAAGATGTCACTTTTAATTTCCCCCTTTGAGCCATTATGAATAGGTTTTGACATCTTGTGGGGACATACATACAGGAATAGTAATGTGTAGCAAATTTCTTCCATCACAAATGGGTATTTTCAGTGTGTAAACAGAAACAATTGTCATAAACAGAGGGATACATAAATACATCCATAATTGGCCCATGTTTGATTAATCTCTTACAATGTGCTGCTGATGTTTATCATTTGAAATTTTTCTGCTTTAGCTGCTTTAAGATCAGCCATCATCTGTCTTCATTAATGGGGCTGCAAATTGTTCAGATTAAATGGGATTTTCGAGATGACAGAATTTTTCAGTAATATTATTAGGTGAATAAGGTGACAATCATTTACAGAACCAACATTTTAAATTTAAATTCTTAGTGAGTTAACTGGCATGCATAAACTAGAAAGATAACTGCTAATACAGCATATTATTCTCCTTTTCTTGGCATTTTAAACCTCGTACTTCCCTGTCACACTTCCACTATTTCTTAAGGAGAGCCACCTCACTTTTGTATCAAGTTTGCTATTCGCCCTTACACTGATGCATGACATAATTTATGGATTGACCATTCAAATTAGGCAGAGGCCAATTTGGCCCATGGTTGATCTCTGGACAGTGTTCAGCTGTGTTCTCTCATCCTTGCTTTCAGGCAAGGACCTTCATCATCTCTCTGCAAAGTAGCATTTTGTAGGCTCCCTCCTAAATCAAGCAAAAAGCCTATTCTTGCATCTTAAAGGGGTTGGTTCTATCCATATTGTAGCCCTGAGACACTGAAAAGTGCAGGATAACAAACATTTCAAATGAATGAATAAATGAAAAAACTTGAAAATGTGAGTATGAGATGCTAATAGGCATCAAAGGACCCCTACAAAATGTTTAACTTTCTAGTTACTCTTCATGTCTTTATAGTAGTTTTAACTAGAATCAGTTTTAGACCTTGGCAATTATAGATGGTCTATAAATATACGTATAAATAAATAGGGAGAAATTCATATAGAGGTGACAATACAAGACCTAGTCTGTTTTCATAATGACTAAATACTCACTTGCCTTAACATTGCTATAAATGTTCTTAGGATCCAGTAGATATGCACAGAAGTATAAACTTGATTTTTAAAATAAATGTTAAAATTAGTCTCTTTCAGATGATCCAGGAAAATGGGTGGTGGTAGTTTTTCTTACAGCTATTCACAGAGTTTATGTTGAACAATATTATTTCAACTTTTGACCTAATTTTGACTCAAGTTCCCTCCACAAACATTTGGAAGCAGTGCATATCTCAACAGGCAGTCAGGCTTAACAGCTACCCTTAATCATGGACCCATTTTCTCCTTTTACGCTTGCAAAATGTATTGTTGTAAACTTGCTTAAGGCATCTTTTTTAACTTAGCCTCAGAAGCTCAAAACTCAGGCCAGGCAGTGGCAACACCAGATTTCTAGGATCCTGGATCAAATAAAAATAATAATATTTTCATCAGTATGCTGCTAGTTGAGGAATTAACTTAGAGAAAGTTGATTCTGGTTGGCATATTAGGCAAGCGGGCAAGCCTGAAATTCCACTAGAGTCCCTCAACCACAAATTCAGAACTGTCAACATTTCTGCTTTTCAAAAATGTTAAAACCTGCAGGTTACATATCAAAGACAGCATGGACAGTGATTCTACTTGCTTCTGTGTAAAGATGCAGTCATCTGAAACAATAAATTGAAGTCTGAAACGACTCACCATTATAATAAAGCTAAAGGTGGTGTACACAATGAGTGTCAGTGCAGTGTTGTGGTTGGAGTTTGGACCAGGATTTGGGAGATCTGGATTCT